CTCGACAACGAGAATGTCTGGAAATACATTTTGTATTTGCCCAGTGATGTCTGGGTTGCGGGAGATTATTTCACATTTGGATGCATTGAGAATGAGGCCTAAGGCTGCTCCCTGCTCTTGGATTTTCCTTATATCCTCCAAAATGGTTTCTGGGGTTCCAGCGAGAGTGCCATCATCTAGGTACCAGATGTTTAGCTCGCTTGTCAGACTATCAGTGACCTCTTTGATAGCTAGGCAGAAAAGGAGGGGGGGCTAAGGGGTCACCTTGTTGGACACCTTCACAGGAGTTTATTTCATGCTCCCCAAAAAGAAGCTTAGAGTCCCCACTGTAGCACGATCGGATGAATGGGTAAAGGGGACGGAAATGGTTGTGTACAGCCCTGAGGACAGCGTCTCGTCTGATTTGATTGAAGGCATTTTTGAAGTCAAGCTTTACTAGTGCCTTCTGCTCCGGGAGATCAGCAATGTAAGCCCGCGCTGCATGTGCTGCAGCTTCACAACCTAGAGGAATCCCAAACCCGAGCTGATGAGGTTTCAGCAAGGTGGCTGCTTCCTGGCTGATAGATCTCACTGCAGCCTTAGCTACAAGGCGTCGGAGGGTGTAGCCAACGGCAATGGGCCTGATACCCCTATCCTTCTTCTTTAGAGCACAGAGTGTTGCTCCATAAAAGACAGGCCTGATGTCCTCAGGGATGCCGCCAGCCAAACACATGTTGGAGAATCTGGTAAGTTCCACTAGAAGGTTCTTTGCAGCATCTCCAAGCATCGGTTTAACCTTTGTTTGATGTGCTGGGGTCTTAGGCCTGTAAAGCCCCCTGCTGAACCTGTTGGGAAAGACATGGCTGCTTTGTACACCTCAGATTCTCGAACAGTCAAGGATTCTATGCCAGCATTGTTTTCCTGGGGATCCCTGCTGCTGTCAGGGGCTCTGGGTGGGTGTTTGTCTTGAAGAGCCTCTGCTGTCGTGGCGTTCCTGGGGGCAATAGTGCCATCGCTGGTCATGATTCTGATGGCACCTGTGGTATTGCCCTTTTCTATTTTCCTGGTGATCTGTGCTCTCATTTTGTGGTTCTCAGATGAGTTATTGTTGGTCGTCCTGCGGCTGGTGTTCTTGACACGAGGGGGGGAGGCGGACCAGGTTGTCTGCTCTGGGGAATTCATTAAGTGCCCTGATTACAGAGGTTGCTAATGACTTGTCTCTCCTGGGCGGTAATGCTAGGCATGCATTCCCAAATAGAAGGAGATTGTGCCACGATCCAGAGGTTCTGGGAGCATTATTGACCTTTGTCAGCAGACTGGTGAGTTTGGCTGCTGCTTGGTGACGGGCAGCCTTGGAGATGTGGGGCAAGGTCCTGGTGGACGTCGCTTTGACTGCTTCAAGCAGATTATCTGCTGAAATGAAGTTGAGGGAGGTATTGTTCCTCGCTCCTGCAGCAGGTTGTCCATCGTCACTGCCCCGGGGCAGGCGCCTCCTGTATATGTCCTTTAATAATATATGTCCTGTAGACATATATTATTAAATATGACCGAAAAAGTAAGATTAATAATTCTAACACGAATTTTCTCAATCTTTCGTACATTTCTTTTCACTGCTGGTGGTAATTCAAAAATCAATTCTCCAAAATTCATTTTTATTTCTAGTCTGACGCGACACTTGAGCGCGTTTCGTAAAACTTATTACATTTTCAAAGACTTTAGTTTACACATACACAACTGAATAGAACTTACACATCTCCGATTTGTTTATATCTACATTTGAGTGAGGTGGATGGGGTGAGGTGGTATTAATAGGGTATTAAATTCCTAAACACAAGACAGAACACGAAACAATGGGTATTGAATGGAAGTGATTGTAGAAAGTCTATTGGTCCATATTTCTTGATGCTTCTATATTGGAGCGGAGTCTTGAGGTGGGTAGAATATAGTTGTGCATTAATTGGCTGTTGATTGCTGGTGTTGACTTCTTAATGTGTAGTGCCTCGCAAACGTCAAGCCGTCTGCTATCGCTGTATCTATCGATGATTTCTGTGTTGTTTACTAGGATTTCTCTGGCGATGGTTTGGTTGTGGGAAGAGATTATATGTTCCTTAATGGAGCCCTGTTGCTTATGCATCGTTAAACGCCTAGAAAGAGATGTTGTTGTCTTGCCTATATACTGGGTTTTTTGGAGCTTACAGTCCCCAAGAGGGCATTTGAAGGCATAGTAGGAGTTTCTTTAGTTTTTAGTAGGAGTTTTTTAGAAGGAGAGTTTCTCATGAGTAGGCTGGCCGTTTTTCTGGTTTTATCAGTTGTATCCTCTGATTTTTGTCTGTAGGGATAACGTTTCTATTAACAATATCTTTCAGGACCCTTTCCTCCGTTTTATGAGCTGTGGAAAAGAAGTTCCTGTAAAATAGTCTAATAGGGGGTATAGGTGTTGTGTTAGTTGTCTCTTCAGAGGTTGCATGGCATTTCACTTTCCTTCTTATGATGTCTTCGACGAAGCCATTGGAGAAGCCGTTGTTGACTAGGACCTGCCTTACCCTACAGAGTTCTTCGTCGACTTGCTTCCATTCTGAGCTGTGGCTAAGAGCACGGTCGACATATGCGTTAACAACACTCCTCTTGTACCTGCCTGGGCAGTCGCTGTTGGCATTTAGGCACATTCCTATGTTCGTTTCCTTAGTGTAGACTGCAGTGTGGAAAACTCCGCTCTTTTCCATGACTGTTACATCTAGAAAGGGCAGCTTCCCATCCTTCTCCATCTCGTAAGTGAAACGCAGCACGGAACTCTGCTCAAATGCCTCCTTCAGCTCCTGCAGATGTCTGACATCAGGTACCTGTGTAAAAATGTCGTCAACATACCTGCAGTATATGGCCGGTTTCAAGTTCATGTCGATTTAGACTTTTTGCTCGATGGTACCCATGTAGAAGTTTGCAAACAGGACACCTAGGGGAGAACCCATGGCGACCCCATCTACTTGCTTATACATGTGCCCATCCGGGCTCAAGAAGGGTGCCTCTTTAGTACAAGCTTGGAGTAGTTTCCTTAGAATATTTTCTGGTATGTCAAGAGGAGTACAGGCTGGATCACGATACACTCTGTCGGCTATCATCCCGATTGTCTCGTCCACAGGTACGTTGGTGAACAGTGATTCTACGTCCAACGAGGCTCTTATCCCTGTGGCCCGTGTGCCCCGCAGTAAGTCAACAAAATCCTTTGGAGACGTCAGGCTGAAGGCGCAAGGGACATAAGGAGTCAGCAGGCCGTTGAGTCGCTTCGCCAACCTGTACGTGGGTGTGGGTATCTGGCTAATGATTGGCCGAAGTGGGTTTCCAGGCTTGTGTGTCTTGGCATTTCCATACGCATATCCAGGTTTATATTCCCCAATAATTTTTGGCAGGTGGAGTCTTGATTTCTTGGCGTTCACAGTTTCGATCAGTTTGTTGACCTTTGCTTTCAATTCGGCTGTAGTGTCCTTCGTTACCCTTTGGAATTTAGTTTGGACAGAGAGTATGAGGTTCATTTTCGCCAGATATTCGTTTTTTTTTTTTTTTTTTTTATGGTCGAGACAATCGGGATGATAGCCGACAGAGTGTATCGTGATCCAGCCTGTACTCCTCTTGTACTAAAATTAGATAATTAGATAAAATTAGACAACATTAGATAAAAGGATAATAGACTTCAGAGGAAGTCTCGACCACTGTCAGACGCACCCGCTACGGCGTATAACTGCGCTCGCTGCGGTCGGGACTGTCATTCTCGGGTTGGCCTTGACAGCCACAGCAGGCGCTGCATCCAACTAGACAACAACAACTACACACCCAGGGCACAACTCCATAACCCCACCGGATAGACGGATGCCTACTACTACAGTTTCATGATTCTTGAAATAACCTTAAAATGAGACAGGATTGACAGGACCGCGGGGCCTCTATCAACCCAAAATGACCATAACAGCATGAGCAATTCACAGGACCGGCTCTAAGGTCAAACTTAACAACCCAACGAGGAGACCCAAGCCAACGTGCTTGGGTTGAGAAGCAGGTCAAACAATCACCTCATCAATTGTAACTCATCCTAAATTGATTGTTAATGAGGCAATGTTGATACAAACAGGTCTAACAATCCCAAACTGTGCAGTAATTACCCTTTTCGAATGACCCGACAAGCGTCAAATATGAAGTGGTTTCACCCAACTAGAAGCGAACATTGTAGGAACCTCATTCCCCCCTCTTAAGAACGTCACTATAACAGAGCTTTTCATTTCACAAGAGCACCGGATTTGTTGTACTGAAAAGCGTACAAATAGACGAATTTAACGTGAGAAGGATTCACCAAGCACTTAGGTATTGTCCTACGAAACCTGTTCATCTTTCCTCGACCATAGCGAAGAAGTTTGTGTTTATTAAACGGTTTACAAGATAGGGAACACTGCCAGGCACTTACTGACTCATCAGTGAAGCTCGTGTTATTGGCACCCTCTTCATAAAGATGTAAAGGCTTCGTAAGAAGAGCTTGACAAATCCTTGACCTGATATGGTCCACTAGGAAGGTTGAGTGATGGTTCTGGTCGTTGGGGCCTGTTTACTCTCTCCCAGCGACCACTCTGGTGGTGGCTGGACGGTGTTTGCTTTACCCCAGCGGTCAGGGCAATGGTCGCTGGAGCGCGTTATAGCGACCACTCAAGAGCTAATTGGGGTTCCCGACACTCTTGACTCCTCAAGTGTCGTCACTCTACCTCAGAGCTGGCACTCGCGTTCAAGCACTCGCGTTCCAGCACTCGCGTTCCAGCACTCGCGTTCCAGCACTCGCGTTCCAGCACTCGCGTTCCAGCACTCGTGTTCCAGCACTAGCGTTCCAGCACTCGCGTTCCAGCACTCGCGTTCAAGCACTCGCGTTCCAGCACTCGCGTTCCAGCACTCGCGTTCCAGCACTCGCGTTCCAGCACTCGCGTTCCAGCACTCGCGTTCCAGCACTCGCGTTCCAGCACTAGCGTTCCAGCACTCGCGTTCCAGCACTAGCGTTCCAGCACTCGGGTTCCAAACACTCGGGTTCCAACACTCGGGTTCCAACACTCGGGTTCCAAACACTCGGGTTCCAACACTCGGGTTCCAAACACTCGGGTTCCAAACACTCGGGTTCCAAACACTCGGGTTCCAAACATTCGGGTTCCAACACTCGGGTTCCAAACACTTGGGTTCCAACACTCGGGTTCCAACACTCGGGTTCCAAACACCCGGGTTCCAACACTCGGGTTCCAACACTCGGGTTCCAAACACTCGGGTTCCAAACACTCGGGTTCCAAACACTCGGGTTCCAACACTCGGGTTCCAAACACTCGGGTTCCAAACACTCGGGTTCCAAACACTTGGGTTCCAACACTCGGGTTCCAACACTCGGGTTCCAAACACTTGGGTTCCAAACACTCGGGTTCCAAACACTCGGGTTCCAACACTCGGGTTCCAAACACTCGGGTTCCAAACACTCGGGTTCCAAACACTTGGGTTCCAACACTCGGGTTCCAAACACTCGGGTTCCAACACTCGGGTTCCAAACACTCGGTTTCCAAACACTCGGTTTCCAAACACTCGGTTTCCAAACACTCGGGTTCCAAACACTTGGGTTCCAAACACTCGGGTTCCAACACTCGGGTTCCAAACACTCGGGTTCCAAACACTTGGGTTCCAAACACTCGGGTTCCAAACACTCGGGTTCCAAACACTCGGGTTCCAACACTCGGGTTCCAAACACTCGGGTTCCAACACTCGGGTTCCAAACACTCGGGTTCCAAACACTCGGGTTCCAAACACTCGGGTTCCAAACACTTGGGTTCCAAACACTTGGGTTCCAAACACTTGGGTTCCAAACACTCGGGTTCCAAACACTCGGGTTCCAAACACTCGGGTTCCAAACACTCGGGTTCCAAACACTCGGGTTCCAAACACTCGGGTTCCAAACACTTGGGTTCCAAGCACTTGGGTTCCAAACACTCGGGTTCCAAACACTTGGGTTCCAAACACTTGGGTTCCAAACACTCGGGTTCCAAACACTCGGGTTCCAAACACTCGGGTTCCAAACACTCGGGTTCCAAACACTCGGGTTCCAAACACTTGGGTTCCAAACACTTGGGTTCCAAACACTTGGGTTCCAAACACTCGGGTTCCAAACACTCGGGTTCCAAACACTCGGGTTCCAAACGCTTGGGTTCCAACACTCGGGTTCCAAACACTTGGGTTCCAAACACTTGGGTTCCAAACACTTGGGTTCCAAACACTTGGGTTCCAAACACTCGGGTTCCAAACACTCGGGTTCCAAACACTCGAGTTCCAAACACCCGGGTTCCATGGACGTGGATCAACAATACTGACCACACAGTGGAATGCGGGTCAATAATATTGCCCCCCACAGTGATAGGCTGGTCAATATGACACGACAGTGGGACATGTATCCATGATAGAGCCCTCATAGGGACACACACAGGTCAATACGAATACCCACAATGACACGTAGGTCAACAATAGTGCCAGCATAGTGACTGTCGGTCAATAATACCACCCCCACTCCAGGACGCAGGTCAAAATAAGCGCAGCTACTATAGGACGCAGGTCAATAATACCACCCCCCCACTCTAGGACGCAGGTCAATAATACCACCCCCACACTACAATGCAGGTCAATAACACCACCCCCACACTAGGATGCAGATTAATAACACCACCCCCACACTAGGATGCAGGTCAATAACACCACCCCCACACTGGGACGCAGGTCAATAATACCACCCCCACACTAGGATGCAGGTCAATAATACCACCCCCACACTAGGACGCAGGTTAATAATACCACCCCCCCACTAGGATGCAGATCAATAACACCACCCCCACACTCGGATGCAGATCAATAACACCACCCCCACACTAGGATGCAGATCAATAACACCACCCCTACACTGGGACGCAGGTCAATAATACCACCCCCACACTGGGACGCAGGTCAATAACACCACCCCCCCACTAGGATGCAGGTCAATAATACCACCCCCACACTAGGATGCAGATCAATAACACCACCCCCACACTCGGATGCAGATCAATAACACCACCGCCACACTAGGATGCAGGTCAATAAAACCACCCCGAGACTAGGATGCAGATCAATAACACCACCCCCACACTAGGATGCAGGTCAATAACACCACCCCCACACTAGGATGCAGGTCAATAATAACACCCCCACACTAGGATGCAGGTCAATAATACCACCCCACACTAGGATACAGGTCAATAATACCACCCCCACACTAGGATGCAGGTCAATAATACCACCCCCACACTAGGATACATGTCAATAATAGCACCCCACACTAGGATACAGGTCAATAATACCACCCCACACTAGGATACAGGTCAATAATACCACCCCCACACTAGGATGCAGGACAATAATACCACCCCACACTAGGATACAGGTCAATAATACCACCCCCACACTAGGATGCAGGACAATAATACCACCCCACACTAGGATACAGGTCAATAATACCACCCCCACACTAGGATGCAGGTCAATAACACCACCCCCACACTAGGATGCAGGTCAATAATACCACCCCACAGTAGAATGCAGGTCAATAATACCACCCCACACTAGAATGCAGGTCAATAATACCACCCCCACACTAGGATACAGGTCAATAATACCACCCCCCACACTAGGATGCAGGTCAATACCACCCCCCACACTAGGATGCAGGTCAATACCACCCCCCACACTAGGATGCAGGTCAATAACACCCCCACACTAGGATGCAGGTCAATAACACCCCCCACACTAGGATGCAGGTCAATAACACCACCCCCACACTAGGATGCAGGTCAATAATACCACACCCCCCCCCCCCAGATGTGTGGCAAGAGACGCATCAAGGAACTCTTGGGAGAACTGCCGCCAACTTTCCACTACAGAAGCGACGGTGTCGTCAGAAAATGAGGGCCGCATGGATCCCGGCGGTGGTGTCCAATACCCTTCAGGGGGGGGCGGGAGGTAATGGGCGGGGGGGGTGGAGTATATTAGGGGGTTAAAGGGGAGTAATGGGGAGAGGGGAGAGTAACGATGATAGCCTAGAGGGGAGGAGAGGGGAGAGAGGGATTGTGTAGGGTAATATCTGTTTATTTTCAGAGGTTGATGGATATCGATGTGTATATATCGGTAACTTTGTCAGGGTAGCATATGAGATATCACATAAATTGTCAATATGTTTGTTATATCTCAAGCCACCGCTAGTTAGTCCTTAACCACTTAAGACATGTTAAGTATATCAACACCAAAGCCACCTCAAGCCAAGCCACAAAATTTATTGTCATCAACCTAGAAGTCATTGTAAGCCGAGGTACTGGCACACCATCCACCACAATCTACACCACTGTAAGCCAAGCCACCACCGCACTATCCACCACAATCTACACCACTATAAACCAAGCCACCACCGCACTATCCACCACAATCTACACCACTGTAAGCCAAGCCACCACCGCACTATCCACCACAATCTACACCACTATAAACCAAGCCACCACCGCACTATCCACCACAATCTACACCACTGTAAGCCAAGCCACCACCGCACTATCCACCACAATCTACACCACTATAAACCAAGCCACCACCGCACTATCCACCACAATCAACACCGCTATAAGCCAAGCCACCACCGCACTATCCACCACAATCTACACCACTATAAGCCAAGCCACCACCGCACTATCCACCACAATCAACACCGCTATAAGCCAAGCCACCACCGCACTATCCACCACAATCTACACCACTGTAAGCCAAGCCACCACCGCACTATCCACCACAATCTACACCACTATAAGCCAAGCCACCACCGCACTATCCATCACAATCTACACCACTATAAGCCAAGCCACCACCGCACTATCCACCACAATCTGCACCACTATAAGCTAAGCCACCACCGCACTATCCACCACAATCTGCACCACTATAAGCCAAGCCACCACCCCACTATCCACCACAATCTGCACCACTATAAGCCAAGCCACCACCGCACTATCCACCACAATCCCCACCACTGTCAGCCAAGCCACATCCACACTATCCACCACAATCTACACCACTATAAGCCTAGCCACCACCGCACTATCCACCACAATCCCCACCAATGTAAGCCAAGCCACCACCGCACTATCCACCACAATCCCCACCACTGTAAGCCAAGCCACCGCCGCACTATCCACCACAATCCCCACCACTGTAAGCCAAGCCACCACCGCACTATCCACCATAATCTACACCACTGAAAGCCAAGCCACCACCGCACTATCCACCACAATCCCCACCACTGTAAGCCAAGCTACCACCGCACTATCCACCACAATCTACACCACTGTAAGCCAAGCCACCACCGCACTATCCACCACAATCCCCACCACTGTAATCCAAGCCACCACCACACTATCCACCACAATCTACACCACTGTAAGCCAAGCCACCACCGCACTATCCACCACAATCTACACCACTGTAAGCCAAGCCACCACCGCACTATCCACCACAATCTACACCACTATAAACCAAGCCACCACCGCACTATCCATCACAATCTACACCACTATAAGCCAAGCCACCACCGCACTATCCACCACAATCTACACCACTGTAAGCCAAGCCACCACCGCACTATCCACCACAATCTACACCAATATAAACCAAGCCACCACCGCACTATCCATCACAATCTACACCACTATAAGCCAAGCCAACACCGCACTATCCACCACAATCTACACCACTGTAACCCAAGCCACCACCGCACTATCCGCACCACTATAAGCCAAGCCACCACTGCACTATCCACCACAATCTATACCACAATAAGCCAAGCCACCACCCCACTATCTACCACTATCTACAACACTGTAAGCCAAGCCACCACCGCACTATCCACCACAATCCCCACCACTGTAAGCCAAGCAGCCACCGCACTATCCACCACAATCCCTACCACTGTAAGCCAAGCCACCACCGTACTATCCACCACAATCCCCATCTCTGTAAGCCAACCCACCACCGCACTATCCACCACAATCCCCACCACCGTAAGCCAAGCCACCACAATCCCCACCACCGTAAGCCAAGCCACCACAATCCCCACCACCGTAAGCCAAGCCACCACAATCCCCACCACCGTAAGCCAAGCCACCACAATCCCCACCACCGTAAGCCAAGCCACCACCACACTATCCACCACAATCCCCACAACTATAAGCCAAGCCACCACCACATTATCCACCACCACACTATCCACCACCGCACTATCCACCATCGCACTATCCACCACCGCACTATTGTTACGGACCCGAGTCCAGCGTCGGAGCATGGAGCAGTGACGACAACGCCATCTGTGTGTCCGCTCCCGAAACCCTCTCCAAATGGACGACGCCATCTAGTGTGGACGGGATATACCGGCCACAGGTACTGGATTCCCGTCTTAATCAGCTCATAACATAGCCGCTGCTCACCTCTGGTGAGGTGGCGCTTAGACAGTGAACGCCATCTATGGAGCTAATATGTGGACGTTTGTGTCTAAGCCTGTAAGTGAGGTACCCTAGAGCGTCCCCAGTACTAATGACGTGTCTGATTAAAGAGTCGACCTGGGACTGCTGTATTGGACGAAGGATCAGTCTACCCAAGGCAGCCAAGGTCTCTTCACGAGTTTGCTCTGAAGAAGCTGTGAGTCATCCCCGGACGAACTCTGCTGAGAGTGTTAGCCTGCCTGTGACGTGGCAGTGTCGAGGAATCGCCTTATCCGGGGCTGGCTGGTGGAAGAGACTAGCCACTGTGGTGCTTAGTGAGGAGAGTGATCAGCGGGATCACACGAGGCTCCTGCCTAGGGCTCGCAACCCTAGTATCGGTTGAGGAGTGGCCTACACAGCGGAGCTGATCAGTACCTGCCAGCTACAGGCTGGATTGTGGTTGAAGGCCTCCACGACGGAGCACCCAGTGGGACTGTGATTTGGCTGGCCTGTGGCCAGGATAGATTCGCCAAGAGAATCATAGAGGATTCATCGTGAGCTCCGTGGAGCATCCTGTGTCTTCGGAGGAAGACAAGCTTGTACATAATCGTGTAGTAATAACCCCCGTGTGCAACTTGTATTTATTTATTTATGGTGGTGGTGAAAATATATATATAAATCAAAACATTTGTATCCCTCCCCCTTTAATTTAACTTGCGTTACGGAACACATCCCTTGAAAGCCTCTACTAACTTGGGGCCGGATTCCCAAACTCTAATAACATCAGAGAAGAACCCGGTTGTGACCCAATAGGGCCGTAACAACTATCCACCACCGCACTATCCACCACAAACTACACCACTGTAAACCAAGCCACCACCGCACTATCCACCACAGTCCCTACCACTGTAAGGCAAGCCATAACA